CGGCCCAAACCCTGCCCCAAGCAACCCCCGCGCAAAACAACCTCAGGGGGGGGATTCATTACAGCAACTTCACTTCATTGAGTTTCCTGTAGCGTCTGCCACTTATGACCTTAACCCCGAACCTGAAACAAACTAAACGCCCGAAAACACAAAACTGCGATCCGCTCAAACCCGAAACCATAAAACTCGTCTTGCCTGCGCTGGAAGACCCAGGACATGAAGCCAGTCATCGATGCTGATCTCCTTGCACTTCCCGGGGTAGCTACACGTCGCAGGCCTACATGTTTCTGGTTTTGGGCCCGAGGTTTACGTCTTGGCCCAGCGGCATTCTTCTACATAGGGGGTTTAGGGTTTAGGGGGGTTGGGGATTTCCGAATCATGTCCAAACCAAGATCTGTTCGGAATGCGTTCACAACTGCACGCTTTTGCCAATACCGCTGAATACACAGCCTAGGAACGAAACACCACACGGAAAAGACGACTGAGGGTCCTGCAGTTGTGCCAATGGCAGACGTCATGTGAGCAGACTGCAACCTACATCTTCTCCGCCCGAACCAGAGCCAGAAGCCCGAAATCCTGAGACCCTCAACCTGAGACCCTGAACCATGTAAACCTGAAGCCCGATACACTAAAAACCTGTAAATCCTAAACCCTGTAAACCCTAAACCCGAAACCCTGTAAACCCTGTAAACTGTAAACCCCAAACCCTAAACCCGAAACGTAAACCCTGTAAACCCTGTAAACCCCAAGCCCTAAACCCTGTAAACCCTCTTAACCCTACACCCTGTAAACCCCAAACCCTAAACCCTGTAAGCCCTAAGCCCGCAGCACGCCTTCAGCCCCAAAGCACGGCATTGTGCCCGGTGGCTCTGCGCCTCGGCTCTGAAGCGGTCCAAGGCTTCTCTGACAAGATCGAAATGCCCTCATTGAACCGAGGGCTTTAATAAGGTTTTGGGTCTTGGGTTTAGGGTTTTGGGTTTTGGGTTTAGGGTTTTGGGTTTGGGGTTCAGGGGGTCTTAGGTTTTAGGCTTCAAGGTTCCTGGCATTGGCGGATTCTTGGTTTCAGGTTTAGAGTCTTGGAGTGCAGGATCTTTCGTGGAACGCACAGTAGCCTTCTGTTTTGAGCTGGCGAGTGTTGGGGCAGAGGTTGTGCGGTAGCTTTGACATGGCATCCTAAACTCCATGGCTGGGTGCATAATCGACTCTGGCAGCGAAATCGCGCCTGCATCTGCGCAAGGATTTCGCCAGTCATCAGGAAGGACATGGGATTAGGGAGCGATACTATACAATGCCAAACTACCATGTGCTAACACGCTCTCCTCGACAAAAGCCACAGACACTCTACGCACTGCGCACACCTTGCCGACCCGAACCAAACAACTCCTGCAAGCCTTTAGGGCGCACAGTTCGTCAATAGCATTGAACCACCGGAATGCTGAACCAACAACGAACACGACATCGTAAACTGAACTCTTCACCGACCAATGAAATGTCTATCATAACTCCATGATCTCCATAGACAGCACCCAAGCTGCAAAACCCCAAAGGCTCCAAACAGAAGTGCGATAAAGTCGTTACAATTTCCGATACACCTCAAATACGGCAATTGTCAAGCGGACAAGCCTCTGAGGCGCAGGCCCACTTCTTGCTGACCAGTCGGCGACGGCAGCGGGCCTTAGGCGGCTTGGTTGAGGCTGTTGGTGTGTTGAAGGGCCTGTGTAGGATGCTATGAGGGCTTGGGACAGGCTTCGCATTGCTGCATGGGCTCTTGTCTTGCTGTATCGGCTGTCAAGGATGTGTCGGCGACTTTTGAGCGAGTTCTTGTGGAATTGCTGGAGACTTGCTCAAGGCCGATGCGTAGAGCAACATAAACAGCGCTACTACACCGTGTATATGTCGCAAACCCGGACAGAGCAGCCAAGGGTACATACCTGTTGCTGGAGCTTGATTCCGAGGGTTGCCTCTCGGAGTTCAACGTCGATTCGGGTGTAGATGCCTTATATAGGCCCTAGACTACATAGCCCGGCACGCACCGACTGCGAAGTTTGCTGCGACCTAGAGCCGTATCTTCAACTACGACTCGGGCTAAAAGGATGCCGATGCCTATGCTCGCATCTCCAAGGCCTCAAGAAACTTCAGAACTCGGCCTTCAAGCTCTGAGGGGTGGGCCCAAAGCACATCTGAAGGCAAGTGCTGCATCGCCTCTGCCAATTTCTGCTCCTGCTGCTTTCGTGGAGTCAGAAGACAAGGCCCTTGACAGTGAACCGCGAATCAATATCTCTAAAACATTGCAGATGCGGTGGGCACAGCAGCTCAACCCCTCCGCCCCAAACACTTAGCCCCTCAGCAACGAACCAAATTAGATCACTCTGGAATCCTTACCACTAGCATCATAAATCCTGACTCTTGTCCGTTACTGTTGTTACCAATGCAACATAAATTACTCATGGTGCGCTTCATGTGCTGATCATGCTTGCTGCAATTCTTGCTTCCCTCTGACTGCAGGGGCTGCGGCATGGCCTCCGGTGGGAGCAGACATTCACCTG